TGGAAGCGGCGGGTCTCGCGTTATCTCGTTCGCGCCGCCGGTATATAACTGAAAATGGAAAAATGCAGCTGGACTGGTCGAAAGGGGAGAGGAAAAAATAGTGGCACGTTGGAGGTGGACGAACGTTTACTCCTTACTTCTCCTCTCTCGCGCTTTCTTGCTATGCCATGCCTCTGCTTTCTCGAGAGCTCGCGAGATCGTCCGGGCAGATTGCATCCTCGCGTGGAGAACGAGAACCGACAGTGGAAAGCGACTATCGTAAACACGGAGGCGACCCTTCCGTGCCTCGAGTAAATATTCCGAAGCTTTCCTTTATATCGGATGGAGATATATCGGCGTAAAAGCGGCAGATGCTCCGGGCGTAATTTCGATAATCCGTTTTACGAGCAACGCCAGCCTATTCGACTCGCTTCTCTGGCGATCGCGTTCCTTCGGTTCCATATAAACTGTGGGAAAAACCTGGGAGGATCGGCGCGTTCGCCGTCGCGATTAGCCACGCGTGTACCGTAAACGAAGCAATTTCTAATTTCACCACGACTCCGTTGCCGCTAGCTTCGCCGTGTCTCCCTTTCGCCGTCCTAAGAGACGAAGACCCCAGCGATCGTATTTTCCTCGAAAATTCATGGAGCACGGTTCGATGGACGTATTTTTATCGGTCTCGTGGTAGACGATCGGTTCTCGGCCAGGCTAGTGGTTCTCGTTCGGGGGCTTCTCGCAACTTTTTATTTTTAGAAATCACCCAACGCACCGTGTACCGTAACGCCACGCCGTGCTCTCGAAAAATGGCTCGGTCGCGCGAGTGTCGGCGAGCAGAGCGTTAGAGGCTGGTCGGTCGTAGCTCGCCGAGTGGAATTGGATCGCGACGATAGTGAAAGTGGCGCGTGGTGCACGCGGAAAGGAATAAAGAAAGGTGGAAAAGAAGCGAGTAGAAGCGAGGGGCCGGGGTAACCGGGGAGCGTAGGTTTAAGGTGGATGAAAGTTATCGGAGAAAGCCAATTGGCAGCGTCGATCTCGCGAGTGCACGATCGCCACTCGAGCCGCTCTTTTCGCGCTCGCCGCCCGTCTCCGCACGCAACGCCTATCGACGTACGCTGCGTTCGAAGGTGCTCGCGCCAACGCGAGCGAGACCTTGCTTGCATACTCTCCTCTACTCTCTTTCTCTTATATACGAGTACACGCATATTGGTATACGCGTCGTTATACGCGTTACCGCACGCGTCCGTGTGTATGTGTGAAATCGCGCGCGGCCGCGGCACGATACACACACGGGCAAAATAAGTGCACTCGTGTGCACACCGTATGGCAGAGAGGGAGAGAGAGAGAGAGAGTGTGTGTGTATAGAGCAGAGCCAGCCTTTACGTAACTCTGCGGCGTTCCTCTTTCCGCGCCCGGTCGGCCAGGGCCGAGCTACCTTCTCGCGAGGCCCCCTACCATCGAACGTCAACGCTCTATACACACGCGCGTACACGCACGCACACGCGCATTTCCCCGATCCGAAATCGGTTTTTATGGGAACGCACGATGATATTCCAGAGGCTGGTTGCTTAGAGTTAGAGAGCCGCCGACCGACCGACCGACGACCAGTCATGCACGGTGAATACTTTCGCCGTTGCGAATAGTCAACGAAACGTGCAACGTATAGAAGAAGTTACGAGTTCTACGAAATACGTGTTCGCGTGCCTCTCGGCCGCTACGTAATTTATCGTAATCAAATATTTATCGTCGTAAATAACTGTCGCTAGCGCGACAATGCGGTATACTCCACCCCTTCCTTCCCTCCTTTTTTCTTTCTTCTTTTACCTTAGAGACGGCGCGATGGCCTTATCGATAGAAGGAAGAGAGGCTGGAGGGTATTCCGCTCGCGCAATTCGGTTCGCTTCTCTCGCATACAAACTCGATTTTTCTTAATGGAGCCGCAGCTCCGTCGGTATCTTCGACATCGTCCTCGTTGTCGGCCGCCGTATGCGTAATGGCTCGTCGTCTCTCGTCTCGCGGTGACGGCGAAAACCAGCAAAAACTGAACAACTAGAAGCGCGATGTTATCGGCGAGCGTTCGTCTCCGCGGAATACAACGATGATTCGTCGACGAACCGACGAGTCGCGAGAGTCGCATAAATTCTTATTAGCACGGCGTTACGACCGCCTGGAAAAATTCTGCCAGGATAATGCCGAACGCGTCCGCTCGTTAGCCTGATAACTCGCTCTCGATCGAGAGATATAGCGAATTTCACCCCCGTCGCTCTTTATTCTCCTAATATTTTCGTTTCGTTCACCCCTGTTTCTTCCGATCTAATCTATTTCGACGATACATGGGACAGTTATAGCCTCCGTCCAAGATTTTTCTTCGGCCCCGACTATTATATAGAGCGGGGCGGCACCGTAAGAAGAATAAATTCCGAATCAGCGATTTCTTTTCCTTTGCGATGTGCAGAGCCTGTGACTGGCAGAAAGACGACCGGACGACCAGACTGGAGTATAGAAGGAAGAAACGTCCTCGCGAAAATGCAAAGAGCCTTCGGCCCGTTAGGTATGCTACACGGATACATGGAAAGTCGGACCCGCGTTAAGGTAGGTCAGGCCCTGTAACATTTTTCCACGAATCAGACACGTTGTTTCGAAGGAAACGATTGCCGTTTAACCGTTACGATCGATACGGAATTCGAGGAAGATCGTAAGTAACGTTAGGAAGTCGAGCAACTTCCTCGCGAAATCCTCCGATCTAAATCTCAAACGTGTAAAATGAAGAAATAAAAGGAAAACGTGAGAGAAACAAAAAAGGGTAGCTTTAAAGGCACCGAATAGAAGAGAATACGTGGATCGACTATCTTGATTCGTGCTTAGCGGCTCCACGACCATGGAAATTCGAGGGTAGTCCTGAAAGCGGCACTGTAAACACCCACGCCCCCTCTCCCTCCATCTCTGCCTGACCCTTGGCATTGTGCGCGCACGCACATGCGGCTGACACACTTTCGCGATCGGGAGACACGTGCGCGAGCCCTTCGAAGGTAAACGAGGGCTGGAAACAGCCGAAAGGTACGGATGGAGGGAGAAAGGAAAGCATTCGGGTCAACACTCGTCTCCATGGAGACAACCAGGGCCTTTCTCCTCGTGTTTACGCCCCTGATCTTACCCTTACTTCCGAGGGACGCATCAAGAAGACAAGGTCGACCATGGAAAAGTCAAAAGACTCGCTGCTCTATGGAACATGGTCGTTTCGCTCGCTATGCTCAGGAAGCGCTCAAGCAGGCACGTACCTTCGTGCCAACACAGACAATTACTTTCTAAATCGTTCGTCCATTCTTCGTCGTTTAATTACGTCTAATTACGCCATCGAAGGGTTAATAGAGTATCTTCCGGGAATAAGTTGCACGCTAGGGATTATAGCGACGGAGATATCGCAAGGTTAGAGGAAAGCTTGGTACTTTATCTGGACGGTTGCGTAACGAGAAAGCGAGGACGCGCGCGTATCAAACGTTTTTAATCTGGCCGTGGCGGCATTCTTCTTCGACGGGGAAACTGAATATCGCGTGTGAGTCACACGGCGATCCAATGAAATCACGCGAAGACGTTTCTGGATCGTATTAGTCGCCGACAACGATCGCGAGCCATTTTTCTCGCGACCGGAAAATAAATCAACGTGCAAGGTCTTTGTGTTTCGTTTTCTTTTTCTTCTCCTAGCGTATCGCTGTAACGGAGAGAAATCGCGAACGAAGTCGCCGGCGGCTCGTCCCGACCGAATCGAACGACGAAAGGAGGAAAAATGCACTTCCTGCCACATCGAGTATCTCGTTGCTTCCTACTTCCATAATTAGCGGCGCGTTTGGCGAATGCGAGAGAGAACGGGATTTCTGATCCGAAGCAGGAAGCGTTACGCCGACTTCTCTTCTACGTTTCCCGAACTGCTCCAAAATGAAGCGAGGCTGGCCTAACGCGTTGTCGAGATACGACCAAGTTCCAGATCCGGGATAAAAATAAACATAGGTTCGCGTTCCGATCACGTACCGGCGAATCGGTCGGGGAACCTTTTCGAAGGGGGCTGTTCGTTCTCGTCGTTCGACTCCTCGACCATCATAGACATAGCGATATAAGACATTTAAAACGCCCCAGCTTACTCGGTTAACTTCGTTCGAACGGAACGTCTGACAAAAAAAGAAAAAAGGTTAATCATCGTTAAATTGATGTAATTGATCTTCCTGCGGAAGCGCCAGTCTATATTCGATATTCTCAATGAGCGGAATCGAGTTCCTAATTAAACTTCTTTCGGATGTCGAGCTTTTAATAAGAGACGGGAACGTGTTTCTCGATTAATTACTTTCATTAGCTTTCATTCGCGGCTTTGTCCGCCCATCGTCGTTCCAACGACGTTTTATTTCTACGACAAAGTCTTCGCGCTGTCTCTTAGATGCATCAGCACGCACCGCGCGCGTTTCATGAAACCACCGTCCTTGGGAACAGATCCTAATCGCTAACCTTCGGATGTGCCTGCATCCGGAAAGAAGATTTCTATCTGCGTCGATCGATTACTCGGCCTTCGGCTGCTCCTCGAATCGCCGAAGAAAGCGATTGCCATTTTCCTTGGAACCAGTCCCATCTCGCGTTATTTTCATACATTCCAACGTAATAGCTTGTATAATGCACCGTTGCGTTACGTAACGAAGATCGCGAATGGAGAAAAAGGAAAGAGACAGTTAACGAATATGATTCGCGCGATTTCTATTACTTCGTACGCGTTCATCGTTATCCTCGCGATCACGCTCTTACGCTCCATCGTTTGTCGCTGTTATTCTCGTGGAATTTCGTTCGAGCGATTTCTCAAGTCGTTACGATCGAAAGGAACGGAAGTAAATCCGTGCGATTCGTCCGACTTTGTCTCGATCCCGGCTTAAGAGGCGTTCTAAATTTCCCGATCCGATCGAAATCTCCGTCACCGAACCTCCGGGTTCCGCCCGACCGATATTCGATATCTGTGAACCGCGGCTGAATGCACGAGAAATTTCACGTATTCGATCGCGATGACAAGACTAGATCGAACCTCGAACCCGACGATCGAGCAAATCTACGAACCAGATGACAACGCTGTTATCCTTCGCGATTAATCGACGGATCTGGCCCCGTTGGACCAGCAAGGATATGCCCCGAAGGAATCTTGAGGACTCCTAGAATCGATTCTAGCTTACAGCTGCCTCGACGTCCCTCTTCTCAATGGCGTTTCGCGCACGTACGGTACACGTGCACAGAGTCAATGACGAGCAGCAAAAGAAAGGTATCGTAAGGTTGTGTTTCGAATTCTTGATCGAACATTTCGAACACCTCGCGATTCCATTCTGCCGGGTAAATCAGATCGATTTAAGAAAACAGAGTTAAAAAGATTTTCGTTTCACCCGAAGAGAGAACAAGTTGGATCGAAGAATTTCAATGGAATTTACACTGAAATCTCGAACGATCGAGCTGGAAAGAATTTGATTAAACTAGATTAAAATGTTAAAAATATAACTCGATTTGTTCGAACATCTCGCGGAGAATTGTACTGAACACTGGATGCGTGTAAAAGGAAGGGAGAGGGGAGAGAGAGACAGAGACGGAGGAGCGAGTCAGAGTCGGAGTCACGCAATTAGTTTTCATTGCGACAAAGCTGGGTATATATCAGTGCGAAAGGCATTGAAGGGGGCCTTGCCACGGTCTGCACTTCCGCGTATCATGCTATCTTGCCTCGCGACATATCTACGCGCGACAAACAACGGAACGGCGTCCGTATTCTCGTAGACACGCTCGTGGTTACTGTCATTAATACAATTGTCGTCTGGAAAATGGAAAAGTTCGCGCGTGCACGTACACTTTCTCCCTTCGATCTGAAACGATTTTCGTCGTTCGTTGATGCACGATGTCTCAAAGTAGAAAGTTCAACATCGCCGAAGATTTAACCTTCGAGGAGGCTTTGTAAAAAGAATCTTCTTTGTCGAATAAAGCTGCACATTGGCCATGCGACCTTCTTCACGGTTAAAAGTTAATAAATCAGTGACAGATAATCGAGGTTGAGACATTGTATCCGAACGGAGCACGTACACGTTCGTCGGCAATTTGTTGTAATTGCCGCGTTAATGCTCTCCTTTCTCCCGTTCTTTCGCGACAAAAAAAAAAAAAAAAAAAGAGAGAAAAAGAAAAAAAAACGTACAATTAGAGCATGTAGGAATTATGCATGCGTCGTTTGGTGTGGTGCGCGCAAAAAATGACGCACCGTCTTTTGCCGGGCCGAAACGATCGATCAACGAAGGAACGAGCACAGGCAGCCGCGCGCGATGTTCATCTTCATCGCAAGTACGGACACGTACGATCTGGAATAGGCGAATCGAGATGCGCGTTACGTTCGTGCACTTATTTTCGAGGGAGGAGAACGACGGCGTCCCTCTCTTTCTCTCCGTTTCGCTTATTCCGTCTCGTTCTCGTGCCTGTTTCGCGAGAAGCCGGCTTTACCTGGAACGGTCGAACCGCCACGACGAACGGGTAACACGAGACTCGCCACGATTTAAAAGGAATAATCGTTCGTCCTTTGTGCCGAAGGTCTACACCAGGAACGCGCGCGGCATAAGGGGACACGTGGAGGCATACGTGGCTGCCTTCGACAAGCACTGGAACCTCGCGCTCGAGGACTGCTTCGAGGTTTGGACCCGTAAAGTCAAGAGGAAAGCACCTGCTCTTGGTAATTTCTTCCTTTTTTTTCTCTTTCTTGTTTTTTACCTCTCTTCTTTCTCGTCTTTCGTTGATTCTGCGATTCCAAGTCATTTAGATCGAGCCGCTTTGATCGAGCGACCAAATTAACGCCGCGTCGATTATAAAAATGTAGTCGTGCGTATAAGACGATCGTAAATTTGACATCGAACGGACAGAGCGGGTCGATTATTAAAATAACGTTGTCGTATCAATTTGATGGGATTTCCGTTTATTTCGTTTGGACGATAGCGTGGAGCATCTGCGATGAATCAGAAATCATTGGGATGCTAATACGGTCTATAAAAAGCGGTTGAAAGCTGTAACCTCCGACATTTGTAACGTGGCCGCTGGCTCGTCTTGCCGTGATTGGAGCGCGACAGGCGGTGCGCGAGGCGCGATACGGCCCTGGAAAAATTCAACCTCTGACAGTCGCTCAAGGCTATCGCCTTGCCGGAGAATTCTAAACAACAATGTGGTGGGTTCAATGAAAAGTCGAATAGCCACGACTGAAAGCTATCGGCCTTCTCCTGTCCTTTTTACCATTTCCATGGAATCACGTTCGACTTAATAAGAAAGAAACGAGAATCCGTTTCGATCGCTACCATCGAAACTATCGGTACGATTGAAACACGGTTCGAGTTTTCTTTCAACGAGTAATTTCAGTTTCTACGGTGCGTTAACGTATCCTGATACTCGACGCGACCGATACCGTGACACACGAAGCAATTCGTCATGTGTTCAGGGTTACATTATTTTTAACAGCATAACGTTTGCGTTTCGCAAAAACATATTCGGTATCTATTAATCGGCCTCGAAATGTTTCCATCCCACAATATATACAAATTGGCATGCAAATTTTTAAATTATACATAATGGACGCGTTGCGCCGCGTGCGTCCAGAATTTTAATACATCGTATCAATAGGCGTAGCAACGTTCGCATGTATTCTTCGAGACCAACGAGAATCCAATTTAGTCCTTCCTACACTTGTCCGACCATGAATGACTCCTACTACTGTCCGTGTCAATGAAACGTTCGCGCGCCTCTTCCTATTTACACGGTTAATCGATGTACGAATAGCACACGGTACGGTAGCACTTTTCCTACCTTCCATCTAGCGCGCCTCTGATTCTCCACTCGTCCAAATCTATTACAAGATCGAGCGTAATTACGCGTTTGAATATTTTAACACCGATGCTCTATATGAATGAAACTCTGCCTAATAACAACGAGAATAGCCTTTCGGTTCGGTTCGGTTCGATGACCTATTTTGAATAATTAGCCACTCCTCTCGATAATAGTACGTACGAGTGACGCGAGAATCGATAAAATTAATCAACGGCTTCCGGCTGGCCGTTGCTTATCGTTAGCCACCTTTATTTACATGAAAAGAGAGAAGCGGAGGTAGTCAAGGGTCGTTGTATCGCGAGGGATACATCCTTAGGACGCCCCTTCACGCTAAGGGGCAAAGACCGACCTTGACTACATAGTGGTTGCTACGTTCGATACAAGGCCCATGTGCTTCGCGTCGTCCGTTTCCCTTTTTTCCTCTCTCTCGCGCGCACACGCGCTCCTTCCTTCTTCTGTTCATCGAACGCAAGAGGTCGTTCTCGCTGCTCGCTCTTTTCCTCTTCGCTTCGCTCGCGTCCTCTCTCCGTTCCTCTCTTCCTACTACTCCCGTTTTCCTCTTGCTCGCACCTCTGCCCTTCCGTTCCATCTTCCTCCTTTCCTCATTCCGCTACAACCCTACAACCTTCGGCACACGTTTTCATTCATTCACGTGGGTACGCCGCACGTGCGTCCGCAATTGCAACTTCCCTCGAACCTCTCTTATCGAGACCTTCGCCTTCCTCGCGTTCTCCGACGCTTATCCAAAGATATCCGGTGAACTGGTCGTGCTGCGTTTCTTCCAGCAACGCGTTATCCTCTGTTCGTTTGCATTTTTGTAGGCCGTTAGTCGCTAACCTAAATTCCTATCACGAAACTCGTGCAAGACGAAAATTTTCGGAACTGGAATTTCGTTTATCGCTGCGTGATCGTACGTACGATTCCGCCAGCTGACTCGATATCGTCGTACCTTTTCCAGCATGATAAAAATCTCGATAGCTGTTTCAATGTGCTCGTAAATCAACGAAATGATTCAACGATTTTTACGTTGTGGGAGGACAGTAGGGTGGGCGTCGCCGAGGGATGATTAATTAATGCTCGGTCGAGAACGAGACGGAGAGCGAGAAAAGATAGAAAAACGAGAAACAAGAGAGAGAAAATATATAGGACGACTGTGTGTTGTTGTTTCGAATGTAAAAGGTTATCCCTCCGAGAACACCGTAATCGCGGTACACCGAGAGAGTTCAGGGTTAGTTGGCCTACTGACGTACTTTAGGATATCCTGAGGGGTCGAGAGGTCGTTGATACGAAGCGGCGAGGGTGGCAAGCCGAGCGACCTTGAAGAGCAACTTCCAGGATCGATGTCTGCCGAGTACACGTGTCCCAGCGACTCCTCGCGCTTGCCTGCTCTCTCCTAACCGTATCGCCCTACGCCCTTCTGCTTCCCCTCGAGCTTGGCGGACACGTGCCAGCACATAAACAACCTTTCGAGTCTTACCTCGTGACCCATCGACATTCTCTTCGTCCGCGGTTTCCCCGTGACGTCAACCTCCGCTGTTTTCTCCCTATCCCGCTCCGATTCCCTATATAGTTTTCTGCTCTCGTTTCCACGATCGGAACGTTGCAATAAAAAAAGACCCGTTTCGAATATAAACTAAATCGAACGATATGTTTCGGTGATACGTTTTCAAGAATCCGGAGCGACAAGGTGTGTTTGGCACGACCAACCGTTTTCGGAAGACCCTCGATAAATTTTCCGAGTATTAACTTTTAAATGGTATCGCGTTCTCGATCCATTAGGTGCTCCAAGCGGCGTGAAGAGGAAAGAAGACACCGCGCCCAAAGTAGTCGTGAAGAAGATCGAAGGAAAGGAGGAGACCTTGGAGAGACACGTGCCGCAAATGCTGCTGAGGGGAGAACAGGTCGCTATAATCGTCAAAATCAATTGAGTCAGTGAATACGTCCTACCACCGAGAAACTGACACTGGTGACGTCACACGATTCCACGTTGCGACGTATCGTATCGCCGGACGAGTAACGAGCAACGCGACGCGATACCTTTTTTTTTTACAATAAAATTTTAATTTTCGACACTTTGCTCTCTTCTATCGATTCTCCCTAACGACGATCCCCCTAGACCGAGTTTCCAGCGTGCGACGCGTCTAGGAAATTCAGCAGGAATTCAGCAAGTAGACGGATTATTGTTTCTGACCGGTGCCTGCGATCGCGTTCGCTCGGAAGGAACGAGGGTGACGAGCTGTTCGATAAGAAACAGAGATAGGGAGAAGCGAAAGAGAGGCGAGAAGCAGCGGGAGAGACACACAGAGGCGGGGAGAAAGAGCACGATCGGTGCAAACATCCACGGGTCTCGCTAATCTGCGACTAATCCCACAGCGTGACCATCGACGAGGAAATTGTACAAGAAGAAAGTAAATTCGTAATTGTTCGACTGCACGCTGTCGTTGCAGTAACTAACTCGCCGCCGCGGTCGCTTTTTCTCTAAGGCGGTGCTCGTTGCACGTTAACCGGCTCTTTCTCTTCGTTTCTCGCGTGCTCGCGAATTGCGCGTCCCGAGAAATAAGAAAGTTTCGACGAATTACGCCTATAGACGGTACAACTATTTCTTATCTCGCCTCCAATACCTCCATACCATCGACCGTAAATTCTTCGATTTAATTGCCAGATTTCATAGGGATCGCGCCGCCTTTGAATCCGTTCTCCACGCAACTAAAGAAACTACCAAAACCATTGGCATTCGTCCATTAGACATCAACATCCTCCCACGCGAATTTTCTTTCCTCCGTGTTCAACAGCTACTCCGAAACGAGAGTAACGTGAATTTTTCCTCTTCTTACGGAACGGCCGGACGATAACGCGCGCCTCCTTCGTTTCTACGTCGCTGAAAAGCGCAACAGCGTCGCTTGGGCCACGGTGAAAGCAAGAACCCTGTCCCCCCTTGTCCCCTAGATCTACCGGGGGGCGCGCAATCCCGGCAGGCCCTCTCACTTTCGCTCTCCGGAGAAAGTCTGGCCGGCGTCACCGCTGGCCGCCCTCCACTCTGC